TTGGAAAGAAAATACCCCAAAAACTCCCAAAAAATAATCTAGCAAGAATTTTTCCACATATCAAAATAGAAATGGTAGATATAATTTCTAGATTTCATCAAATGTCAGATAATATTTTAACCTGAATTTATTCAAGGGTCAATTTTTTCTTCAACAGAAATTCTACAATTAAAAACTTTCATAAAATTGATGTTTGCTAGGTTCTAGGAATAAAGATTAACAAAATCCTAAAGAATAAGTTTGTATGTCAATTTAGAAATACATTGATTTGATGTTCCTAATCAGAAAAATTGGAAAACATGAAATACTGAAACTGACCCTAAATCATTCCAAATCTGCTAAAACAGTAATTTGGCTTCAATTTGCACTGTATTAAAACTTGGCTGAATTTGATAAAAATGGTCAATTTCAGGGTTTCAATGGAAAACAAAATGAGAAAGGGAAAACAGGAAGATCAGGGAAATTGCTAGAAGATAGGTGTTAGGTAAGCAAGGAGGCACCAGTCAAAGGCCAGGTGAGCTGGTTAGAACCCAATGAACCAGCCTGGTTATAGGCATGGAGCCCCTGACACACCTATTTAGGATTTTGATAAAGCACAGGAAAGACAGGTTGTAGGTATACAGGCAATATGTATAAGCCAGAAATTGAAAAGAAGAAGGAATCCAATGGTCGAAGTCTGATGGGATAAGGACAGGATCTGACCCTGGCCATAAGAAACGTGAAGGTAGTACAGGTAAGGCGGGAGTGTGCAGAGATGAGGAGAAATAGAAAGTGGAGATTAAGAACCCTAGTCCCAGTGAAAATAACTACAGGAATCAAAACCCAGGCTTGTTTACACTGTAGACTCAAACAGAAGCAGAAGTAGCAACAGATCCCAGCTAGATCTGACTGCATGCCAGGCAAAAGAAGTCAGACAATAACAGGCTGAACATGGCACAGAAGAACCTGCAGCAGAAGTTGCTTGGATGTCAATCTGAGCAATTGAGGCAGGGGCTGCTTTTCTGGGATTTCAGCCTAGAGTATGAGAGAGGCCAGCATATGGACATCCTAGCCAAGAATGTTCTTCACCTTAAGTTTGCCTGTTCATGTTTATTTTGTGGCAATCTCACTAAGGATTTGGCATAACCTGCCCTTCCCTTTCATTTCCTTAATAACCTCAACAGGGTGGGTAATCTCTAATGAGCATCTGGGGAACAATGACGGCTACTGTTTGAACTACTGTAGTTGCAATAAACTTGCCACATGGGACAACCGCAGGTGTAGATTTGTAGCGACTACTTCTTTCCTTTGAAAAAAGAACAAATGGTTCTGTGGTGTGTGAGGTTAGGCTGAAGAAGTACTGAAGTTAGAGAATACAGAGCTCTTATCACAGAAGATATTTAATCTAGAATGAGGATATATGAGTGCATGTCTATTTACAACAGCCCTACCTCACTACAGAAAAGACTAAAGGCAATTTAAATGTATAGGAGACTAACAAGTGGTTAAGCCATGGCCGTTAAAAGAGAACTGCAATCACAGCGACTGGAATTCTACAAGGTGAAAAATGGGGCAAGGTAACCATTGAATGGCCTCTCTGGTTCCCTGTCCTGCATTTCGCCCCCTTCCCCTGGCCACAGGAAGGTCTGGAACCTCCATGAGCACACTGCATGCTCTCCATCTCTCTCCTTGACCCCAGTGATTTTCACCCGGTGTCCCACAGGAATTTTTAAAACAGGCAATACCTGACTATTTAGTCAGGGAAACTGGCCTTTTTCCCCTTAGATTGTCAAATAAAAACATGACAACAGCCAACACAACAATAGCTGTCCGGTGTGAATGAATCAAACTTATATCTATTTTATTTGTCAGATCTACAAAAAATATATTTTTTGGTGTGCTGCAGAATTTTAGTAATTAGCTTATGTGTGCCATGGGATGCAAAAGGTTGAAAATCGTTGTTCTGCCCCAAACACAGACTCTGTCTTATTGTTATCAAGAAAGAACCTTGTCTCCACTCCAATAGCTGGATGCCTATCTGATCTCTGTGGAAGAGCTCCTTTATGGATTATCTATTCTCTTTTCTCTGAAACTGGAGCCCTGCTTTGCTCTTATCTTCTGTTTTGATCTGGTCTCTCTGAGGACTGCATACTCCCAGACTTGCAGCCACTGAGTTCTGCTGTTCTTTCTCATGCTGGACCTTTCTGAATAAACCACCAAACTGAATACCCTAGCCTCCCCAACCCCAACCCTTCTGTCTGGCTGCTTGTGGCTGCATATACTTCTGGTGAGTACCCATCTCAGCTCACGTCTCATCTCTTGACTGGGCCTTTCCTCTCACTCCTCCCCTCCCCAAAAACCTGACCAATCAACACTGCCAAAACATTACATGCAACATTCATTATTCCTAGTCAGGAGAGACATCATTTTGTAACTACCAATGACTTTTTACTTTTCAAAAAGGCACAGTAAATATTATTTTGGATTTAAAAGAGCCAATTTAGTTTTTCCTCATGTTACCAAATCAATATGAAATCAATGAGTCTTGAAGTAATCCCCCATCTGGAATATTGCAGCAAAGGAATCACCCATCCATCCATCCATCCATCCATCCATCCATCCATCCATCCCTTTATTTATTTATTTATTTATTTATTTATTTATTTATTTACTTACATTAATCTTCAGATAGAGGGAAAGGAAGAGAAGGAGGAAGAGAGAGAGAGAAAAATCGATGTGAGAAAGACACATCGAGTGGTTGCCACCCACATGACCCCAATCTGGGCCGGGGACAAACTGCAACTGAGCTATGTGCCCTCAGCAGGAACCGAACCCGGGACTCTGGTCTGCAGGCCGACGCTCTAACTGCTGCGCCAAACCGGCCAGGGCAGCAAAGGAATCTTAAGTCAATAATAAAGTGGGAGGGAAAGGAATGGGAGACAAGAAAACTACACAAATGTATTGAAACATATTTAAAATATTTAAGCATTCATTTGCTCTTCCTAGAGGTGGTGCAAAAGAAAGTGCACAACTTAGAAATTAAATCATCAGTGGAGAGGTTTCTATCAAAAATCTAGAAGAACTTAATCATAATTAACAATCATGTTTTCCTTCTTCTACTTGAATTCTTTATGTTAGAAAAGTCAATCTCAAACCAGCCATGGAAATAATTTAAAAAAATAAAAAGCTTCATGTTGAACAAATACGTTCTCCCTGCTTCATGTCAAGTGCAAAATACGTAAAAGGTAAATTAGTGTGTACCAACCTAATTCTAACATAATTTCTAAGACCATCGAATAATGTTTTTCAGAAAAATAAGTATGTAAGATTTTAATTTCAGGCCAAATGATTATGCTTTTTGCATTTATGGATCAGCCCCACGAAGCTTCCACCTCCCTCGTGGGAAAAGAATGCCTGCACGTAACTTCCTCTTTTTCAGCTTTACCTCCACAGTGCATACGAGTTTGTGGACGTATTCATTCTTTTTTCTAACTTTTATCATATTTTAGTTATTATGACTCTTAACACTGAAAGGTAAAACAGCTTTTATTAAGAGTTCAGCAACATATTAATTGCATTAATTTTCTTTTTCAAGACTGCATTATTAGTCTAGGTAATTCCAATTATTATCACACTACAAAACACAATTATGTGTCCTCGAAGATTGATGACTTATAAACCCATTTCTGCCCTCTGTTTTTTATAATAGAGGTTAAAAAAAAGAAAATTTAAGACTATGGAGAACATGTATTGATGTTATCCAGAGTAATAAAAATAAGACATTCAGAGAACCAGTAGTTCTCATTAGTTGGCAAGATTCTTCTGTGTTGCAATCTTCTGTACTATGTAAAACGTAATTTCCGTTAAAATATGATAATCATGTTTGAGATTACTGTGTATATTTACACAATGAATACCAGTCACCTTGTGCTCAACAACAGCTCATGTGTTTACAGTAATTGCACAGTTGAGACAGTCTATGAACCAGAATATGCTGATTTGTTTGGCAGGAAACTAGGATGAATCAAATGGACCACCATGTTGTCTGGGGCAGAAACCTCAAATGTCCCTTCTCTTGCCACAAAGTGATTATGCAATGCGCTTCCAGGCGCTAAAGGCCAGAGCACAACTGAAAAGTAGTTACTTGGCTAAGCCTGAAGTCCTGTAACATTTCTGAACTACTGGTGGTCAAATTAACAGCTAAATCTAATGATTGCCATGAATCAGAATCAAAAATAAATACACAAACTATGTATCACATATCCTGACATTTATTTTTAATAAAATAGATTTCAAAATTGAGAAAAGATTTTTTAAAAACTTTAGCAATTTTAACTTAATTAATATGGTTATATTATTTTCAAATACATCTTCTAAGCTTCTGAAGTAGGTAGGTAGTGAGGAAAGAAAAACTTGACTCGAGGTTACACCCAACCTGAATGGTTCACTAAAAATTGCATCAATATAGCAAACATTTTAGTCTGGAGAGAAGTGATCCATTTTAACATTCTGTAAATTTACCTGCTTTAATAGTTGCCATTTTAGCATTATAAGCATTAGAAAATAATCCTGAACTCCATGAACTTACTGAATATTTAGTTTCTCACGCCACTACTACACAGAAGATGATTGAACATAAGCTAAGGCTTCTTCAGCAAGTAAGTCCTGTGCTCACCCCCACCCAGCCTCTATATGTGTACAGAAGAAAGATTTTTAAAATTCAGGTTAGAGCCATTTATTAGGCAGTTTTTAAAAATTAAAATGGCTACTTTACCATTTCTGAATTTAAAATAAACCTTAAATTTTAGTGTTTTCAACTACATTAAAATTTGTTTTAAGATTTGTTAAGCCAAAGAGCGGAAAATCAGAGCATGAACAATATGGTGAGGGGTTCCAATAAGCTTAGTCTGGCCTGAGCGTAGAATATTCTATTGTAAAGAATTAAAATGGGCAAAGAAACCCAAAGAAGCCTTAACCCTCCTCCATTCCCTGTAACAGACCAACAAAAATCAGATAAATACCTCAAACAGAAAGGTGACAGAGGTCTTTCATCTTCCTGTGAACTAAAAGAAAAGAAATTTTGAATTACTATAAATTTCGTTAATGTTGTATGTCGATTTTTACTAAAACTCTGTCCTACTTGTCGCAAATTTCGTTTTGACACATTAGAGCTAAACTCATGACGCAGGAAGGTTCGTAAAACACACTCTACCTTGGACCTAACCGAAGTCAATTACTTCTTCATGGGAGACCTTCAAGGGAGTTTTGTTTCAAAATTAGCTTCAGGTAAAAAGAATTCACATGGTACTTTCAATAGAAAGCTTTCTACTACCTTATTCTACAACCCCAACCCAATTATTCATAGATTACACATAAACTCTTAAATGATTACATACTCAGTTATCTCAATAAAGCTAATTACAACTAATTAACATGATGATGAAGGTAAGAAACAGCCCTCAAGATAGTCCTGTTAACCACCAACTTACACCATACATGAAAATAAACTCAAAATGGATAAAAGACTTAAATGTAACTCGTAAATTCATAAATATTCTAGAAGAAAATGCAGGCAACAAAATTTCAGACATCATACACAGCAGAATTTTCACTGATAAAACACCTAAGGCAAGAGAAACAAAGGAAAAAATGAACACATGGGACTACATCAAACTAAAAAGCTTCTGCACAGCAAAAGAAACAACCATCAAAACGGAAAGACAACCTACTATATGGGAGACCATAATCGCCAATGATGCATCAGATAAGGGGTTAATTTCCAAAATACATAGAATACTCATACAACTCAACAAAAGAAAGACAAAGAACCCAATTAAAAAATGGGTAGATGATCTAAATAGACACCTCTCCAAAAGGACATACAAATGGCTAAGAGACATATGAAGAAATGCTCAACATCACTAATCATCAGAGAGATGCAAATTAAAACAACAATGAGCTATCACCTCACACCTGTCAGAATGGCCGCCATCAACAAATCATCAAACAACAAGTGTTGGCGAGGGTGTGGAGAAAAGGGGACTCTAGTACACTGTTGATGGGAATGCAGACTGGTGCAGCCACTGTGGAAAACACTATGGTGTTACCTCAAAAAATTAAAATTTTAACTTCCATTTGACCCAGTGATCCCACTTCTAGGAATATACCCTAAGAAGCCTGAAACACCAATCAGAAAGAATATATGTACTCCCATGTTCGTAGTAGCACTATGTACAATAGCTAAGATCTGGAAACAGCCCAGGGTCCATCAGTGGATGAATGGATAAAAAAGCTGTGGTACATATACACAATGGAATACTGTGCGGCTGTAAGAAAGAAAGAGCTCTTATCCTTTGAAATGACATGGAAGGACCTCGAAAGTATTATGCTAAGCGAAACAAGCCAAGCAGAGAAAGACACACATCATATGATCTCACTTATTTGTGAAATAAAATGAACTAAACAAACTGATGAACAAAACTGACCCAGAGACATAGAGGTGGGGTACAGACTGACTAAAGCCTCCGAGAAGGGGGGTTGCGAGGGGGAGATAAACCACAGAACTTATATGCATGTGTGCATGAACAATGGACATGGACAACAAAGCTGGGGATGGGGCAGGGGAGGATGGGGAGGAGGGTGTCAATGGAGAAAAAGGGGAAACATCTGTAACAAAAACAAATTAATAAAAAATAAATAAAAACAAACAGAAAACACAGTCCCGTTAAGGTGTGAGTCACTCCAAAAAGGATGCCCTAGCAATGGAGAGCCTGGCAGGAAACAGCACTCATGCTCTTTGGCCTCTGCACTACTCTGAAGTATTATTACGAGTGTCGAGAATATGAAAACACATAAAAGAAATCATAAAAATAGCTTAAGTGTCTCAAACAACACAGAAGCAATATGCAACTTAATATAAAAGTATTCGATTCAGAAAATGTAAACTATTTATCACAATAAAATATTTTCCCTTCCTTTAACAGGTTTTTCTTCTGGCAAATGACCTCAAGACAAAGAATGAGTCTCTCTGCCCCTCAGTGTCTACTGGAGTAGCCTTTGAACTTTTTTGATTATGCACTCATATAAAATTAGGTGTTTATTTTTTAATGCTTCACAAATTTGTGTCACCCTTAGGCAGAGGCCCGGCTAATCTCTGTGCCAACTGTATATGTATGTGCTGCTGAATCCGGCTCTCACATCCAGTTTGAAGCAGCCATTCCCCTCAATACGTGACTAAGTGACCTGTGCATCAATAAAGAAGTAAGAGTAGGAATGGAAAGTATTAGATAAAATTAACTAGAAAGTCTACTATTTTTTCTTCTACCCCTATTGTTAATCTTATGATATCATCTTTGGGGAAGTAACTAGTTAACTTTTGTTTTCCCTTTCTCTTGGCTTATTTTTAAACTTTCTTAAGCATCATTAATGAAAAGGGGAAAGTTTGCTTCAATGGGTAATATTACACTAGCAGTTACCAAAGTATTATTAGAAAACTATTGTGTGAGTCACACGCACACACACACACACACACACACCCGTCCTAGAAGTTGAAAAGGTCTTAACATTTTAGTTGGAAGATGGCACAAAGTATGAGATACTATTTTTCATTCTTTCATGACTTTGGTTTCCGATTTCAATATCACCTAGCTGTTCTAATGTTTATGTTGCCAAAGATTTTAATGTTTGTAACAAACATTAAAATTTGTGCCAATTCTTCCCAAGTGAAGGGTATGGGGTGACTCGCTATATTATCAACTAATGTGGATGGGCTGGTAGATTTAGGTTGCAGAGCTGAAAAGACAGAGGCAACTTCACCTGAGATAGGTCCAGGTGTCTCGGGAAGAAACCATCTGGAGCCAGAGCTATTATAGGAAGTGATCACTTTAAGCCAAACTGATACAAGGAGCTTGCTTACACATATGACTAAAATATTCCTTGAAAGTACTTAAAACAAATTAATAAAATATTAGAATTAAATTAGTTTCCTAATCAAGGATTCAGTGTCAAAAAGCACTAGTTATGACCAACAGGATGCAAAAAGGCTGCAACTAAAAATCTGTAATGACTTTATTTTAGGAAAATCGCCTCCATGTGTTATAAAATGGGCACTATACTAAATACTTCCTTGCCTAGAACAGATCCTTAACTCTAACATGTGACAAATTATAATGAAAAGTAACAAGGGTCCTTTAGTGAACATTCAATAATCACTATGCTTGACTTTCTTGGAATTTAGAAGTACTTCTGGGAGATGATTTAGATGATGTAGGGTTCTGAACACAGCTGTTCATGTGTTTTGGCTAATGCTTTTTTGGTGTGTGTGCTAAATCTCTGTAACAGAGACAGAGACCATCAAAATCAATAAATCCCTTCTTCCTTCACACCTTCTCTCCCTCAAGCAGTGGCAATCAACAGGGCAGCAATCCATGCCCAATAACCAAGAAGAACAATATAATTTGAAAATAAAATGAGACTAATCAATTTTGATAGTTAATTAGCATGTTTCCCTTTCCCCTTTCATAAAAGTACTCACGCCTGAAGGTTTGTAACATAATCTTGATAAAGGTATAAATTCTGAAACAACTAAAGCACTGATTTCAAATGTATTAAATCAATTAACTCTAAAAATCAATTGTTAAACACTGATTTTAAACGCAATTTTAAGGAAAAATGGCCAAGGACAATTCTTCCGAATAGAATTGAGAAAATAAATTTTTCCTCAAAATTTACAAATCAGAATGCAAAACATTTGGCAAGATCACCATTTCTACATCTGTGCAAAATGGGTGTATACTATTATCACAGGCCCCAGGCATCTATTTATAGAGGTTATTTATGCCTATTTCTGGTTTTGTGTCACTCTCGCAGGCATGCCCACTGATATTAAGACACTTTTTGCCCTACATTTTAAATTGAGAATTCTGATTTACTTTAATTTTTAAAAACAAGCACAGGTAATGTAGACGAACGAGGGCGTGAGTGTGGCATGAAATTAAGCCAATGACAAACTGGAACAACTTGGAATTCATTCAGTTTCCTCTTTGGTTGCTAGTATAAACCCCATATTTTAATTATTTCCTGTATGCAGACTGAATAATGGCCAAGCTTAAGCAGCTAATTAAGTTGCTTAAAAAAAAAAAAATCAAACATATACTGAGAGATTTGGGCAGTCAACACTTGAATGTCAGGCAATCAGGTGCTTCATGTTCTCAGACATGTGCTATTATATTCTCTCAAAACAACTGCCTGTGGGAAGAACATTTATCAAATAGATCCAAGTAATAGTCCAAGTCTAAGAAGCAACAAATGAGGATGACAATAACACAGATATTAGGGTTCTAGTGGGGTCATCTAAATTTCTTAATATGGCGCAACATTTGGTAAATGAAGATAAATGAATGACACCTAGATTTACAATCTTCACCAGCTGCAATAATTTCTAAACTGAAGCCATAGAATGCAGTGCCTATCAATTTAATTACCCAGCGGCTAATGGAAATCATGGTGTTTTCCATGTCTAAGAAAAACCAAATACTGTTGGGAGAATTCCCAGAGTGAGGTATTCAGACTGGACTATCAATTACTGGATCAAAAGCACCACTGCATTCAATTCCCTTTTGAAACATTCCAATTAGTTCAACTTTCTAATGGGTTAATGTGGCTAGCTACCAAAACAATGAACATAATCTGCATATTTAGTCACATACTTTATATTTTCAAGTGATTTGAGCTACAACAAATAGTTTGTGTCCTCGAGGACAGAAAAATAAGTAAATGCAAAGGATTCGTTTTCATTCATTGAAGAAACAAGGAAAACTATGAGGGTGTAAAAGAAAAACAGAGCAGAAGGAAGAGAGGAAGTGAAGGACAACTGAAAGGATAAAATTAAAAGTACAAAGTAAACATTTTTATGGAATTCAGGTTTTTTTCCCCCATGTTGCAACAGAATGTGCTAAGAAGAATTTTCTTAGAGAATGATCGAGTGAAGTTAATCAGCACATTCTCTTTCCTTCCTTCCTGTGCAAAACACAAATTGCTACACTTACTGGAGTTTTTATTTATC